ATTTTGAAGTGTTCTCATGAAAATGATCTGGTTATTCAGATTGTACATTGAACTTCATTCCTCTTCATTGTTAGTTTAGGCTTTTCAGATCAATTTTCTTATTTCAAATGATATGAATATCTTAAAAGGTCATTTACTTGCAGGTTAAAGATGTGATTTATGATATTTTTTATGCGCTTTCTTTGCTTATTTTGGTTTTGACAGTACTTAATGAAGCATTAACAATCGAGGTGCAACGTTTGAAGCTTGCATCTACTGAACTTAGCAGAGATCCTTCCAAGTTTCAATAGCTTTCTATTAATTCCAAGCAGTTCTAGTTACACCAACAGCAGGCAACTCGACAGAACATGAGCAGCAGTCCAAGCAACAGAATAGCAGTACATCTGCATAGTAGGATTGTGTACCAAACATGTTTGTCTTGCGTGTTTGTCCCATCTATTAGTACACAAGATTTTATGTTTAAGCGTCAAATTATACTCTAGGAATGATACTGTATCTATTGAATATGTTTTTTACGAGATTAGTTTTGTCATAGTGATAATGAGTACCAATTTGCAATGAAATTATCAATTTTTATACAATTTCAAAATTTGTTCATAAGGAATCATTTTCAATTTTGTCAATTAATTTGCATAAATTGTTGTAAAAAAAAAAAAAAAACCTACGGCAACATTTAAAAAACGCTGCAAAAAGTGGTAGCAACGTTCAAAAAACGTTGCAAAACGTAGGTATTAGCAACATTCAAAAAACGTTACTCTACGGCAACATTGAGCTTTGCAACATACGTCCAAACGTTGCAAAAGGTTTTCGGCAACTTTTTTTAACGTTGCAAAATGTTATTTTTGTTGTAGTGAAGGACAACTCTTTGTATATCAGATTCATTATTGCGGGCTATGGCAACAGACCCATCAGAATTAGACTTTCCTTTCATATCATATATCTTTTTGAAACAGTCTTTTATGAAGTGTCCAGTTTTACCACAGTAATAATATCTCCTAACTTGATTCTTAGATTTCAGTTGACTCTTGTTTAGATTTCTGGATTTGGAAGTTTGAGGTTTCCCTTTCTTATGAGAGTTGAAATTGTATTGATTATTCTTTGTGTTATGATTCAATTCTCTTTAACATTTAACCCTTCTCCAATTTTAGAGTCCTTGAATTTAAATTTTAATTCAAGTTTTCTGTTTCTTAGAGCTAGGATAGTAATATCAACTGTCAAATCCTCTATTCCATGTTTTAAAATATTTCTAAGTTCTCTGTATTTATCACCTAGAGCATTCAACATAAAAATAACTTGTTGATCATCAAATAGTTTATCATCACAATTCGCCAGATCTTGAATCAATTTAGTGAATTTATCGATGTTTTCTTCCAAAGTGGATGAGGTATCAAATTTGAAATTATAAATTGTCTGAGGAGATATCATTTATTAGGCATTGTCTTTGTTAAGTAAGGGGATCCTAACTTAGTCTACAAAGCTACAGTAGTCATGGTTTCTCCAATATTTCTTATCACACTATCAGACAAATGTAGAAAAATTGAACTCCAAGCAATCTCATCTAATTCCTGTCTCCTATAAACACTAATTTCAGTACCCTACGATCCATCAAGGGCGGCAGCACACACCTCTGCTGTAACAATAGTTCATTGTAACAACAAAGTTGTCATCTTTTGGCGCCAAAGATTAAAATCTCTAGTTCATTTTCAAACTTTTACTTCAAATTTGTGTACAATTGTCATGTAGTAGATAAAATCATAGAATCAAGTTTATACAACATACGGAGTATAGTAGATTCAGGTAATATGAGAAGATTATAAAATGTGTGAATTTCAGAGTGAGAACATTTTAGAAATTTCTTATTATCATGCAAGTTGCACAATTTATGAAATAGATTATACAATTCAAGTAATTCAGAATTATATAACACTTTAATGATCAACTTGGACAATTAAATTAAATTAAATTGTCAATTTGACAGGTTTAAGGAGTGATGACCCATGAATCCACTACTCCCTTAAATTCTCGGATCCTCACTAGAGATCTTGGAAAAAGGAAAGTAGTAGTAGATCAATTACCTTAATAACCAAGTCAAATTTAGACAGGACAGTATAATTAGTCTGACCCAAAAGTAAAGAGTGTAAAAGATTATACCAGAGCTGAAACTTTGAAGTTTCAGTAAGAGGAGTACAGGGAGAGAATATCAGAACCAGTTTAGAAATCCAAATTATGCACAGGTACACCACAAGTCATAGTGACTCAGTACAACTCAGCAGTGAGCAAAGAAAACAATAGAACTCGAAGTGAGCCAACTTAACTCACCAGCACTCAAGACGAGTTCTAAGATATCACACCACTTAGTGGTAAGTCAAAAGTCAAATAGCTAAAAAACTCATTAAGAACCAAACTCCTTTAGATTAAAGGTGAATCAAAGAGTTTTCCTTAGAAACGTTTAAGAACAAAAGCATATCTAACACCATTTCTTTTATATCCCGTTGAAAAATCACCAAATTTCTGAAGAAATACAATCAAAAATTGGGAGAAAAGATCTTGACAAGGAAAACTCCTTTAAAACAATTTATTTCAAAAATCGTTCCAAATGTTTCAAAATTTGCAAATCTACAAAAAACCATATACTAGGGTTTCAAGAAATCAAACCTTAACGCTTGAGAAACATAGTTTCGGGCTCTGATACCACTTGTTAGTCTCAAAATCATTTTTATTCAACGATTTGTAGATGGCATAAATTTTGCACAAAATTAAAAGGAACACGAAGATTTTTTTGCCACTAAGGTCCCGAATGTTCAGCCTTAAGCCTACTCACTCGTTGAGCATCTACAAATAGATTACGCTCGATTTCTCTATTAATTCACCAAGAAATAGTACAAATATATGAAGAAAACAAAAAGACATGTATAGGTTGTGAAATGGTTTTTATCTTAGTCATCAACTTAATATCTGCACAGATATGATTACTAGCACATGTGTCAATGATCCAAGTTCCAGATTTCAAACAATCAAGCTTGGCAAAAAAGGAATGATAAAAACGCATACCTGCATATTCCTTAATATGAGCAAAATTCACCTTATTCCCCATATCCATTATTGTTTTTCCTCTTAAGGCTTTCTGAACTTTTATCTTCACAATGTCTGCTATACTTGTTGCATCACCTTTTCTGATCTCATTCATATGATTTTCATCAATATCTAATGGTGTCTCTACCATGTTTGCCAAAAATTTTCCATCAGTGAATCCTCTAGATCTCTGCTCTTTCAGATCTTTATACCAATCAGGGTATCCATTTAGTTTAAAACACACATCCTTTGTATGACCATTCATATTACAATGGTCACAGTATAAATTCTCTTTTTCTGTAATACCAAATCTCCTTATGTTTCCTCTTGGTGAATTGTAATTTCCTCTATTGAAACGTCCCCTACCAAATCCTCTACAGTAGCCAGTTCTACCTCCACCGTCTCTCCTATACTCAGTAGTTTTGATTAGCATAGCTGTGTTGTCATTTGTTTCTGGAAATATGATGTGCACTTCCCTTTGCTTTTCAACTCTAAGTACCATAGAATAGACCTTGTTAACTGAGGGCAGAGGATCCATTACCAGAATTTGGTTTCTTATATGATCAAACGTATCATTTAGTCCCATCAAAAATTGCATTAAACGATTAAAACCTGTCAGATCTGATACTTCCTTAGATGCTGCACAAGTGCAAGCTGGAACAGGCATTAAACATGCTAATTCATCCCAAAGTTTCTTCAATTTAGTGTAATATTTCTCTGCTGTCAATACCCCTTGGGATATGCTTCCTATTTCCCTCTGCAACTCATACAATAATAGTCCATTACATTCACCATACCTCTCCTTCAATTCTTCCCAGAGATCCTTCCCAGATACAGTGTAAATAAAGGCCTCCACAATTTCTTTTGAAATCGAATTAAGTAACCATGATCTGACCATACAATCAACTCGTAACCACTGCTCTGTTTTAGCTGAATTCCCAACTGGTTTTCCGCAATTTCCATCAATAAAACCCAATTTCAATTTTGCCCCCAAGGCAATTTAATAGACCTACTCCAGCTAAGATAGTTTTGACCCGTTAAGTGAGAAGTAACCAGTTGCATTCCTGGATGATCTGAGCTTTGTAAATCTAATGGATCTCCATTAGAATATGCCTTTTCTGAGACTTGCCTTACTATAGCTTCATCATCTTTTGATTCAATTCGAGGTGGAACTTCGAGTTCCGCCATTTTAGTTTCAGCACATATTTCTCAAAGCTCTGAACCATGCTTTGATACCATGAACAAAGCAAAATATAAGATAATTTCTGTTGAATCAATTAATCAAAGAGGAAGACGATCTCCATTATATATAGATGGAGAAAGTCCAGTACAACCAACCACAGGAAAGCAAAACTAAAACTAACAAATTTAACAGACTAAAGGATAAAAACGTGAGCTGCCTAGAAAACGTGAGCAACAATACACACTTTACTTTATTCTCAAAATGGGCTATATGAAATAAGGAAACTGGGCTATATCAACTGGGCCGTAACAACTTGGCAAGTAGGCCCAATGATTACCAAGCTTCATCACCAGACTTCATCACCTCCGTTGTGCAGCTGGCTGACATAATTCTTCAACTTCAGACTCAATATTCATGATGTTCTTTTTTTATGACTATTAGTAATCGAAAATTCGAAGTCCAACATTCGTGATTGTCATTCTATCATCGCCCTAATCAATCCATAAAAAAATCTTAAAGGTTCATTATTGTTGATGACAATACCACATATAGATTTTTTTATATATATATAAATTAAGTCAGTGAAACGTACTGTTGAGCACGAATTCATTATTCCTGCTGAGTAATGTTAAACAAGAAAAACACATGGAGATTTTATTTATTATATTAGTCAGTAAGCAGGTACTATACACAGACATAAACATAAAGTAGTTCTCACTAATCTGATATCTGCGAGAAATTTGCATTACTGAAGCTTAATCCACATGCCAGAACTTGGTATACCTGAATGCACAACAAACAACATATAATATCCCGGCGGTGCAATCTCACGCGTTGATGGCCCGACTGCAGCCACTCGATACGTGTTCGTGGCCACGCAGGAAACCTGAACTCCCTTGAGCACAACCATTCTTTGATTCATCGAAAATGAATGTGTAGTAAATGATGGCAATATTAACCTAACTGACACAACACTCGTTTTCATGAATCTTGGCACCGTGAATGTTAAGGTAAATGATTGTAAGTAGCTAACAACCTTTTCGGCTTCGATAATCCGCGGTCTGTAACGATCGTATACAGGTGATAAATAAGGGGGAGAAAATGATTCCAGGCTCAAATCAGTTGGGTACTCAACGCCTGAGAAGTTGTAATATATATGAGGGTTGCTTCCGCCGACAAGAACCCGACCGTCGTTTACTAAAATGGCAGCCGAATGGTAGAGGCGCGGTCGGGGCGAGGCCGACATGACAGAGAATCGCCTCCTTTCGTCCTGGTGGGGATTATAAATCAGTGGCCTAGTTACAGGATTTCGTGCTGATTCCCATCCTGCCGTACCTGAACTCGCACCGTTTATTATAATGATATCGTCGTTAGGTAGAAGAAGCATGTCGCTCATCACCCGTGGCATCGGCATGTTTTCCATTTTCCAGGTGGGATTTTCGTCCATAATTTTCAGGCGGCCACAGGTCGAGGCAGCGCGTTGAAATGTTCCCTTTTTAACGAGCTGGAATGCATGGCGCGACGCCCCACCACAAATCATAATTTCAGGCTCGATTGGACGGTTTTCGTCAAGGGGAAATAGAACAAGGGAGCCTGAACTGGGATAATTACGCGGTTCACCACCATTGATGGCAGGGAATTCCTTGATCTTCCGGTTTTGTTTGTAATCAAACACTATGGATCTTGTGTTAGCAAAAATGAATAAATTTCCGTCCGGTAATAGGTGTACAAATGGATATAAATTGTTTTCAGATGAATCTCTAGTTTCTCTGAGAAAATTAAGCCAAACAACATTGTGGGAAGAAGAAGAGGGCTGAGAATTTCTATGGTAGAATTCATAGTTAAATTGTTTTCGACCACCGATGATGATTATCCGTCCATCGGGGAGTATTTGATCTGTTGCGTACCATCTACGCTCCAACAGAGCTTGGGGGAACTCGACCCAATCACAATAATATCCATTACACGGAGCTAAAGTGCGTATGACGTGATCTCCATCATTGTATCCCCCAGTCTGGACTAAGGTTCCATCGGGAAGTACTGCGCCTGAGGAGCACCAGGTGTCGGTTTGTACCATTAATGGACAAAAAGTATTCGTCCCCACGTCGTATAGAATAGAATGAGCCGTGCAGTCTATCTTGAGTTCAGTGTCATTGGGGTCATACCTGCAGCGTCCACCGGTGAGAGAGAGGTTAGAGCGGCCAAAATCCGTCCTATCAAACATGACAACTTTGTTGTTTTTAAGGAGTTGCATGTGCATTGCCGAAATTCCGATGCTTTCGTGTAATAGATGCCATTCTCCCTCATGGCCGGAAAATGCTAACGAAATTTGGGACATCGCCAAACTGGAAGGGACAATAAATATAAGAAAGAGGTGTACGAAAGTGACCATTTTTGTGGGCGTAATAGTGGGTAGGATTGGCAAATTTGTTGCTAAGGTTGATGAAATGTAGTAACTGTAACAATACTCCTAGAAAAGAAGTGTACTACTAGCATGATAATATATATACTTATTACAACCTTAAATCATGCTAAAACAACATCGTATCAGTTCTTGATGCAAAAATTTATGAAGTCAGAATTCCAGCTTGGGAAAAAGGGTGCCTCCAGGGATTGCATCAAAACCCAAAGAAGATGATGTAAATTAAGGACATTTTCAGGCAAGAAACGTGGATTCTGGTACTCATATTTTCTTTTGTTAATCTGTTTTTCCCTCTTTTTCGTCTCCAGTTTTGTCCATCAACATGAGTAGTAGCATCAGTCGATTTAATATCCACAGTCTAATTAATGCGACAAAAAGCAGTCTATAGTTTTTCCCATTTTTTGACTGGAAAAGAAAAGAAATATCGCCACATTTTCTTGGAGATGAAGCAAATTGCAGATAAGCTGTGCGTTCCAGTCATTTGAACATTCAAATTCTTAAATAATTTATCAAACTAGTATAGTCATGATTCTATTTATGACGTTTTATTGCAACTTATCTGAAACCGTAGTAGCTTATATTGCTGTCAGAAATGCATTTGCGACACAACAAATTCATGCTGATTGGGTTGGAATTTCTTGAATATTATCAATTGATTATACTTTAAAACATAACCAATCCCATCAAATGAACACATAATAAATTATGTGTTTGTATGTAGAGTTTTAGGATCAAGAGCTTTATGCTTTTCAAGGCAACTTGTTTTATTTCGAGTGCTTGTTAAAAGTTAAAATTTAGATTTTAATCAAAGTTAAAGTTAAGAATTAATTTTAACCAAATATTTTATGAGATTTATAATTTTTCAATCAAATATTTTATTAACTTTTATCAAAATTTTTTGAAAATCTGATTTTAATTCCCAACAAACGTGGCCTTATATATTTTCAAATCAATGTTGATAAGATGATTTTTTTAGAGCAGAGCTATTTTCATCCACAGTTTATATACTTATGTAAATGTACTTAAATAGACATGAAAAATTAAATAAAAATATATTGTTACAGATTCATCAATTAATTTTTATTTCAATAAATTCTTTTGAACCTTTTTATATTCTTTTAGAGTTTGTATTTAACTAGAATTCTAATAATGATAAAATATCATTTTCAACTAAAATCATAGAACCCTACTAATCATAAAATACCCTCTTCAACTGAAATTAAAAAAAAAAAAATAACACATTATTTTAGTTATAATTCTTTCATAATATGGAAAGTGGAATCTTATTTTTTATGTTTTGTTTTGAGTATTAGTTTGATTTATGAAAGTATACGAGAAATTTGAAAATAAGTTTCAACATCCATCCAAACATTCTTACATTATGAAAGGAAACAAACTTAAAATTACCAACTAAAACACAAACAACCAAAATTATTAGCTTATAAGCAAAAAAAAAAAAATTAATTAACATATGATTTGATGAGGGACTTGTTTGGTAGCGTGAACAATATACTCTCGAGAGAACCCAATATATTCAAGAAAAGATATTCGCTAATATTTGCAACTAAATATTAAAGCACCGACATGTCAATATAGAAAAGGATAAGTAATTAGATGTTGATAGTAATTTAATGAATATAGTAATTTTTAAAATATTTAAAATTATATTAGGAATGTATTTAGAGTGAAATGAATATATAAAATTTGTGTAGATATATAATGTAACAAAGTCCGCCACCGCACACAAACACGAAAAAGAAAGGGAAGAAAAGGAGAATAATTATTTTACGGCTTGATTCTTTGTTAAGGAATCAATTTTCAATCCAAAAAAAGGAAGTGGTGCAGTGCAAATTTATAGTAGATCCTTTGCTTGCTGCTTCTCCCACCTAGTCATTATTTCTTCGCGAAAACTAAGAGATTTTTTCATAGAAAAAGTAACAGATCCATTACAAGAGTTACCAGTACATTTAAAGTCAAAGGGAATATGAAAAGAAAATTGTGTACAAGTTGACTTTAATGCAAATCAAGCATTTTGATATCAATTTTTCATCACACAGAAGAATATTACTTCTATCTGAAAGTACATTATGCATTGTAGTCATCACAGGAAGAATTTGAAGAGACCTCAGTAAGAACACTAGAATCGGAATATGAAGACGAGGATGAAGAAGAGGAAGAAGAAGAATCCGAATCCTCCGACAATGTTTCGACCGTCGTGAACTCATGTGAACTGCACCCACCAATGCCATCAGCATGGTTTCTTCTTTTGTAAAAAAATATATGACACAAAACCCAATTTCCAATTTGGGTCAAGGAATCCTGCAAAAGATTGATAAGCATTGATTATTATAGAAGCTAAAGTAATATCTAATAAGACCCTCCAAACTAGAATTGGATAATAGATAGCATATTGTTAAGGATTAAGCCCAATTGCGAATAAAATTTTATTCCCCTATCTCCAGACTAGGTATGTTATGTTTTATCTTCATTTCAATAAAACAAGCAACCAATATTGGGTATCGATGGATTACGTGTAAGAGTGGGAAAGAATGCGGGATAAGCCAGTAAAAATTACCTGAGAATTTGTCCGGGCAATGTGATATTCGTGCATGAGCCAATCAGTTCTTGAATTAGTTTGCGAGTTCTTTCCCTCATAGAATACGAACGTCCTCTTAATTCCCACTATTGGCGTCCAATTCGAACTCATTATTTGTTTGTCTAACCCAATCGCCTTCCAGTAACCACCACTAGTCTCTCGGCTCATTGGATTTCCATTTTCCTTGTTGCTGAACAAGTACTTGTCCTGGTCCGAATCACCTATATATGACAGTAAAGTTTGACATGTATGCAATCAGCTGCTATACACTCACCAGACACAACTCAGCATTATAATAACAAGATTTATTAAGCCATCACCTACGAGAAATGACAAACCTGGCAATTCCCACGGATCAAATTTGCAAATGCTGATTTCTGGAATGACTGAAGCTGGCAAAGGATATGAAAATATTTTACGCGCCAAGTACTGGAAAACTATCTCTTCATCAGTCGGCTCGAACCGAAATCCTGGAGGCAATTTACTCACTCCATCTTTACCAAAATTCAGCTTGTCTCTTGCAGACATTCTAGGCAATACAATTGAAACCCCTATGTGTGACTTGTGTGTTTAAGAGGGAGCGAGAGAGAACATGCAAGAGGGGTTTCCTTAGAGATGGCTTTTTATAGTAATGATAGGGCTCTGGCGGTGACATTTTGCCTTTTCTTTGCTAATTAAACCTGCCAGTGCTCGTGGTGGCGTGTTTTACTAATACAAAAATTAATTAAATAAAGGACAATTTAGGAGGGCATCGAGGCTTACCTCAAGAAGAACAATGAGCTTACTTAGAATCAAAGAATCAATTTTCGGTGCTTGAATTATACTTCGTGTCATCAGGAGTCTAGTTAAATATTTGACAGATGTCTCATCTTTTGCCATTTTGAAATTTGATGTTAGAAATTCAAGAAACGAAAGTAATGTGGCAATATGAAAATAATCGAGAACACAAGATTTACGTGAAAAATTCCACGGGCAGAAGATGAGAATTCTCTATAAGAATGAAAGAATACAACGATTTTGTGTTTACAACTTATGCCTATCACAATGAAGAGCCAACTATATACGGAGTACATGTAAATTTCTAAAAATAGTGTATTAGTTGGAAGATCATCAAAAAAATTCGTCAAATCGCGAAATAGAACTTGAGTTGGACAACAGCGGTGCTTGAGCGCCAAGGCTAGATCCCCAATTTTGAGCGCTCGAGTTGAAGATGAGCGTGCTGCGAGCCAAAATGGGGTGACTTCTTTTCCCTTGTCCATCTTTTAGATATCTTCAAGGCCTCTTCAACTAAATCATCAATACCGAACGAAATTTGAGTCACACTTCAACAAATCTCCACTTTGACACAAATTCCAATACCAAGAATTACTCTTCACACTTCAAAAAATTCTCCACGTAGGATTCTCCAATAGAAAAATTCTTCATCTATTTCCCAAAGCCCAACTAGAAAAAACTCAATAACTGAATATCAGCTGAATTCAAACACTGCTCAGCAAGATTACCCAAGTTGCTCGAATTATCACCACGAACAACAAGATCACAAAGAACTCAATAACTACCTAATGGGGCAGAAACATACCACATAAGGTTTTTCTATAGACTCAATACCTTCAACTACATTTAAAGCATAAGCAACTAAATCAGCTTCTCCATACATTTGTGAATGCCTAATATCTCTCATAGGTCTGTCCTTATTAATTGAATACTGTAGCACCGCTAGTGGTGGTGACAAACGGTATTACCCATAACTTTTGAACTCGATTAAGATGTATTCTTTAATATAGATTCTAAACTATGCTCCCATAGTACTGTACCAAACTCAAAATCCACACGAGTGCCTAATTTTTGCTGATTGGTATCCAAAAATTATGTACAACCCTATAAGACATATAATTGGGACCTTCTTTGTCCCTTCATTACAACGCTGACACATTTACTAATCTTCAAAACTCCACATTCACCAGTGTATTTGTATCCTTTTGAATCAAAAGTACTCAAGAAGATAGGATTTCTTCGCCCAGTATCCTGACATCCCCATCAAACATCTTAATACTAGTCCTTCCAATACCAGCTATCTTATAAGGTGCATTATTTTTCATTATCACAATACCTTTAGAAGCTGTTTCATATGTTGAAAACCAATCCCGATTAGGACATATATGAAACGTGCAAGCTGTATTAAGAATTCAATCCTCTTCAAGTTTGGAATCACCGTCAGAAATAGCCAAACGTTCTATATCACTGTAGCAATCTTCTGCAATACTGGCTTCACCTGTAATTTTTGGTTGTTTTTCCTTTTGATTTGCAGGAACTAATTTAGTCTTTTTCTACAACTTATAACGATCCTTCTTCATGTGTCCCTTTTTCTTGCAATAATTATAGATTTTATTATTGTTATTAGACCTTAATTTGCCCCTCACATGATCACTATGAATAAGAAGACGTTCTCAATAAGTCTCAGGTCCAACAAGATGTTTCATCGTCTTCTTTGAGAAAAGAGCATCATATACTTCTTCAATAGTGAGTATCACGACTGTACAAGTTCATGTCTCTAAAAGACACATATGAAGCGAACACAACAAAATCTACCTTAAATCTTTTTCATCATGCTTGATCTCCAAGGTTTTCAAGTCGACGATAATTTTCTTGAAAACAATTAGGTGATCTTCCAGTAATGTACTTTCTGTCATATGATGAGAATACAATCGCTGCTTCAAATGTAATTTACCGATTAGACTTTTCGCCATACATAATTACTCCAATTTCAACCATAATGTAGCGTTGGTTTTCTCCTTTAAAACGTCATGAAAAATATGATTCGAAAAATGAAGATAAATCTGTGATGCGGCCTTTCAATCCTTACATTGTTTTTTCTCTAGCGACCAAGTAGAGAGCATCTTGTCAAACCCCAACAAATTATTATCCAAATTCATTTGAGCGAAAACTGCTCGCATCTTCACTTGCGGTCCAAAAGTGAAATATCATACTTCATGGTTGCCATCACAAAAAATCAGACCTCGAACTAAGTTGATCAAACTTGTTCTGATACCACTTGTTAGAAATTCAAGAAATGAGAGCAATATGGCAATATGAAAGTAATCGAGAACATAAGATTTACTTGAAACATTCCACGAGCAAAAGATGAGAATTCATTACATGATGAAATAATACAATAATTTTGTGTTTTCAACTTATTCCTATCACAATAAAGATCCAACCCTAAAAATAGTGTTTTAGTTGGAAAGAATATTAGAAAATTCGTCAATTTGCGAAGCGAAACAAAACTATGGCAGGACAATAGCGCGCTCGAGTATCAAACCCCCTGGACAATGTTTTCTATACATGTGATTACTTCTTAAAACCAAGTCAAGATTTACTTCATTGTGAAGTATTTATGAATTAAATTTAATTTTCGTTGCTGCACAATGTTTTCTATACATGTTGTGATTACTTCTTAAAAACAAGTCAAGATTTACTTCATGGAGAAGTATTTATGAAAATTAAGTTTGATAAAATAACAAAAAGTGAACTTTACTTCTGGGTAGTCACATCCAAACGTGCAGCCATTGATTTCTCAATCTTTATTGCAGTTAATTGCATTAGCTTTACAATCTTTCACTTTAAATTATGGATGTCTGGCATCTAAATTAAGTTGTCTTTAATTAGGTGAGATGCACATTCACTCAGAGAGTTAAATTAAATTATTTCTGGTTCCAAAAAAAGTGAGTATGGAGTGGCAACATTTAATTGACAAGTTTAAATTTATTTTTTGTCCAACATTCAATGAAATTGTGCCAGCTGAAAATCTGTCAATTTGTATGGCAAAAATCCATGTACATTGAAAAGTTTTACTTTCTTCAAAAGCGTAGCAAATCTGTCAAAAGACAGAAGAACTGAAGAAGCTTGCCACTGACGTGATGTGTGATTGGATAGATGCTTTCCTTAGTCGAGAAGATGCTACTTTTGTTTCTCATTTTAATTGAAATAGAAATCATAAAGTCAGCCCAACAAATTAACCTACTCCATGCATTATAATTATTTTTTTCTCTGCAAGTTTGAGTTACTTTAGTCGTTAGCCCTATTTTCGACGTCACATTATTTTCTCAATCTTGTGTATCCTTAACATACTAGAACAACCTTCATTGTTGGTATCAAACCAATACGTACCTATTTTTCCAAGACCTTGTGGCCATAATAAGAATATGAACGCATGCACGATGACTGTTAAGAGAAAAAGTTAAAATATTATTCACAGTAGTCATATCACTTACCAACAGATATAGGGGAAAATATGTTCGGTGATATTGCAAAAATTCAGATTCTATGAAGAAATGTCACATATACATGGCGAATGCCTCAAGACTTGGTGTGAGTTTGGACAGCTTAAGTTATAATTTAAACTCATCAAACATACATTTATCTACACATTTTGTAGGATCCACAACTTAGTAATCACTTATAATCCACATATTCCATAGAAACCACTACTTTTAAAATCTCTACCAAACATTCTTGTACATAAAACCCATACCAAATACTTCACTGTTAACCTTTTTCAATTTCTGTTTACATTTATCAGATTATTTCCTTCTGTCTTATTTACAGTATCACTCGACTGCTATTGCTTATTTTTCATGACAAAGTCATCGTCGCTATTGGCATGATGAATCTGATTCGATCTCAAATTCTCAATTGGCGTTTCAAGCTGATCAGGTGGGCTATCCCAGCTCCCACTTCTCCTTCCCCAACTACACCCAGTACTTCTGCTTCGGCCAGGAGATGCAACATTGAGTTCACTATTTTTGTCCATGTCATCGTCAAGTCTAAGTTGTCCTTGATATTGACTTTCACTGCTCATACCAGTTTCTACATCGTTCTTTGCCATTCCTGAGTCGGGATCATGAAAACTGCCACCTACTGAGTGAGGTGGTATCGCAGATTCTTTATGTATCCTTGCTCGGAATTTGTTCTTTGATGGTGGAATACTAGTACAGAAAATCTCCATGAAGTTTCGAACCACTCCTTTACTGTAGGGGTTGGTCAGTCTATCATATCGGTATCTAAAGTTCTCGTATGTTGACTGCAATGCAAATAAAAAACTGAGCATGTCTGGCTAGCCTAAAAAATGTAAAAAGTAAGGAAGCATTTGGTTGTTGTTTTCAATTTGTTCGGTTTTATAAAACACTCAAAACAAAACATGTTTGTTTTGGAATTTTTGAAAATAAATTTTCGAAAACAAGATCAAAACTAATAACATAAAACTCAAAATATATTTTTGACGTCAAAACACGGGAAATAAAAGTAATCCAATTCCTCTTTCTAATGGCAAAACGCTTAAAATATATATTATATGATAAAATATTAACATAAAATTATTCTATTTACTGAATAATCAAATCCATTGAATAAAATGTCATAAAACAATTTTCTAAAATTCCAAATCAAATGCGCTTTTCAGTTTTCTATTTTAAGAATGACAAATCAAACACATTTTCTGCAATATTAAAAGTAAATTTTAAGCTTAGATATATGTTGGGCTAAGCTTGCTATGTTTAAGGCTTAGCAAAACACACTCGATAATGTTACGACGAGAAGTTTAAATAAATTTTGATATTTTCTGAGCTAACAACATCGATAAATTCCCATCTTGTTTAGTTGAAAGCATCAATGCATTAAAGAAGTATGCAATACACGAAGAAATTAGTGCACACAATGATATGTTACCTGGTTTGTAGCGATGAGATAAAGATGGAAAACCGACAAGCCACCAACAAACCAGAGTGATAAAAAAGTATAAACGATAAGTGCAATGAGGGCCGGGGTCTTAATCATAGCTTTCCATATAGTGGTCTTTTCCATATCCATTGTCCTTTTAATATAAAACCAGCAAAATCCGTGAACATATAAGCAAAGAAGAGTTGTTGAGAAGACGAACATGAAGTAGAACCGATAGTTTCTCTGCAACCATAATCATTAAATAATTCAGTATTAAACTATAGCTACATTTTATTGATTGCTAATTCACAAATAAGAAATTTAAAACAAATAAGTTATAAAACTAAAAAGGGTTAATCTTTTGTAAGAATCATATTATCATGATCACTCAGTAAAATTGTCACCACAAGTATAATAAGGATTTTATGGAAATTTTCTTCACTGCATTAAGATGAAAAGGCATGTAAACTTTGTCAAACTGATTTGATTGTCTGTCATTTCTATTCCGGGCCATGGAAGTGGGGGAGCCAAAAGTTCCAATCATGACACAGCAAAAGGCCTCAACACTCTATTTAATTTTCTGTTCTCTAGAATTTCCAAAGTTTCAACAGATAAACTTAGGCAATTCTACACATTGTACAAGTGAGATATATAAGAAAAATAATCGGAATTAAACAAATTGATTGAGGGAATTTCACTAAATACAAGTCTTAAGGTACGCAATTCTGTACAGCTTGATAATCTATTCAGCTTGAATAGGAATTAGAAAGAGCTCTGCAAGAATGTCATAAATACCAATAAAATCAAACCATAAATTTGAAGCATTATAGGAGCCAAGAGCGAAAAGTTCTACACTCATAAGCAACAATACTATGACACAGGAAGGACCCAGTTGTTTAGTGTGAAATATATAAAATTTAATCTTGTGAGGTAGAAAAATAGATAATCCAACACCACATTGATTAACATGATCTAAAAAGAATAGATATAGTGCCTGTTTCGCTGAGCATGGAAAACTAACTTATATAAGTTTACTTTTAATAGATAATTTTTTTTTTATTAGTCAAAGTTGAAAACATGTAATTTATATTGAAAGTAACTCTTACCTTAATGTCAAAATAAGTAATTGATGATGATTAAGTGACTATTTAAATATTTGAAATAAAAGTTACTTAAAAGCAAGTTGACTTTATTTTAAGTTCAACATATATGCTCTATAGCTGGTAGTTTGGGAGAAGGGGTTGACTTTTTTGTGTAGAATTAGGCTCGGTGAGTATATCAAACAATGAAATTCGGAGAAAGTATACTTACCAATCCAATACACTGTCCAACCCACGGGCAGTGATGGTCAAACCGTTGGACACAATTATTGCATATTGAACAGTGTGAACACCGTGGAGGCCTATATAGCATACAAGTTTCACAGTATTTGATCTTCACAGTTATTCCATTGACCACTACGTCTTTCATACGGGGAAAACGTGAGGTTTGACCCGGCCCAAGTTCCATACTACCTCCATAAGTTTCTATTTCTGGTGGGCGATCATTGCGAGGAATAATACCAGGATCCCTTGCGGATGTCAGTAGAAGAAGGACTAAATCCTGCAGCAACACAGTCACCACATGTAAACTATAGCCATCTTGTTTATCCAATAAACAGAATGCAGAACCCAACATTAATTATTTCATCAGAATGCACTTTGATATATATATATTTCAGCCTTCAAATTGATGCTTAATTGTTGTTGAACAACATGTCAAGTTTTAAGTTTGATCTTTTCCTTCTTTTTGTGGTGACTTTTTTCTCAACTATGATAAACAAGAGAGAATCATCCAACAAAGGGAAGTAATAAATCAAATATTTGCAACTGGCACAAAATGTCTCTGAAACCTAAGCATTCCTTCAACTACGGGATTTGCACACAAATAGGGTGCATATGAAGCAACTCTAAGAAAATACCCTCATTTATATCTCGCCCTACTTGAATAAGGCTTAATTATACTTTGAGCTGAGCTTGAAAAAACATTTTGATGAGTGAAATCTAACCAAAACTCAATTTTCTTATTTAATGTACATTCTATCTGATACTTGTTGGCTAATATGTGGGTTTGAATTTTTATTTTTTATTTTTTTGGAAAATTACAAGCTTAAAAATGTGCTCAAGTTCAGTTTGGTACGTGCAGAACCTCAACAGGCATTGAGCTTGACATACAATCTAGCATAACCAAATTGGATTTTAAACAACTTGGGCTTGATTTTATTACGAGCTGGTGGAGCCTATTTTCAACCATGCACACAGAATAGTTAGCAACAGTCCTCCTTCAAGGCTATATAAACAGAAGGTATCAAAGGTAGAAGGAGGAAGAGAGAGTTCAAGCCTATCAAAGTGGATAAGACATGAATAAAAGTTGTGGAACCTATGGAATGCGTGGATAAAAATAATGTTTAACCAGCTTATAAGTTAAAAAAGCATAGAAACACAAGCACTAAAATGAAGGGGAAATTAGAGAAATTAGAAATTTGAGTGTGGACCATTTCCATAATAAACAATTAGTAAGATGTCTCATACAATATGAATTTCCAACTATACTCCTGATTTTACTATACATCGACATTGACCTAGGTCTTGATAAAATTAACTGATATCTTATTTAAGTTTCCTCAGAACACAACCATGTGTTATTGCTAAAGAGACAAACCAATGATATGTCCATATGAAAGTGATAAGTCAAAAATCACATAGTACCGGATACTTTCAAATTGTTAATTGTTTAAAAACTAAAAATACCAACCTAATACGTCTTCACAAGAATAAAACAGTAGATTTCACATCCTAGGTTACTACATATGTGAAAACAAACATAAAATTCATAAAAAGGAATACATGAGGACTTACATATAGTGTGAAAACGATAACTACAACCACAACTGAGATTCCTGAATTGCCAGGCAAAACATCCAACAGCTTTCTGGCCACAAAGATGCAGAAAACCGCAACCGGGGCAACTATGAGAAATATCGTCAAAAAGACTGACAAAGCATCAGGCCCGAATATGAACCTTCCCCCAAGACAAAATTTCTGCAAAAGTTAAAGACAAACCATGGATTCTTTGAACAGTACATGAACGGGAAATTACGCCATTCTAGCCATACAGTAGCAGAATTAAACGAATTCTTAACTGGTTAGCAGCAGAAACTTATCCCTCAAAACATTCATGCATAAGAGAAATTTCAGCAAATGTCTTATCTGCACGTAAATTTGCAATGAACTTTGAAAATTCATTGTTTTTATTTTTCTTTCACATTTCAATCATTGATATAAACCAGGAGTCTTTATGCTTGTTAAAAACTCCATTTTTCATCATGGGATCAGTTTCTACTCAAATAATAAAAATAACAAAAATCAAATTATTAAGGGCCGTTTGGCACGTCTTTTGGAAAAAAAAAAAGTGACTTTTGAGAGTAAGAAGTAGCTTTTGGCTTGTTTGGACAATTATTCGAGGTGCTTTGTCTAATTAAAGAGCTTCTCTTCTACAAAAAGAATAAGCAGAAGCTATTCCAAATAGGTCAGTTTCTCCAATACAAAAATTAATAGGATAATTTCATCAAAGAGCTATTTGCATAATTCAAACCTAAAAAAAGTAAAAAGTTTTTCTACACATATCAATATGAACATACTAATCAAGCTCATTAAGTTTTCATTTTTAACAACAACGATGAAAAATTAATTAAACAACCCCAAAGGATTTTTTCCCAATTCTTATAAATAAAACAGAGGAATGAACAAACAAGTGAGTGGAGAAATTACATTGCTGCCTTCCCAGGTCTGGTATGTCCGGATCACCGCCGCCCCATCAGCAGCGCCATCCTCAATCTCCGAGCTCTTCGGCGGCGCCACCCTACTCATTTTTCTCTCAAGACTTTTCAAATTTAATCTCAATTTCTATCTCAATATATAGAAATCCCACAAAACGAAATTTCTTTGTCATTAATTGGCATGTTCCATGATTATAGTACGACGTTGTCAGGGGCTGGTGGGCTATGACTGATTCATAGTTGCCATGGCAAAAGGAGCAATTCTTATTTTACATTTTTATTTGAATTTCGTCATTGTTACAAGCTTATTAATAATGGAGAATTTGCACAAATGGTCTCTGTTGTATGGCCTCTATAATAACTCAGTACCTATAATTTGTTTCATGGCACTGTCATCCTTATTATTTTAGTGATAAAATAGTCCTTACCTTGTTATTTCTGGCTGGTAAGCAGGGGCGTGCAATGCTCAAGTTTTATACCAAAAGTTTATATAACGACTTCTAAAACAAGGATCTTAAAGTAAAATAAAGGGCGAGAGATAGTGGAAGTTCACTGCTACAGAACTAAGACCACTATGAATCATATTCATACATCTTAATGAGTCATGAAAATATATTGCACCAGTTAATGACTTAGTATACTTTGTGATTTTCAATTTCATTGTTGGTGCTTGTATTGACTTCAAAGTTATTTTGTTCTTGACATAAGTTTCTTGCTCTTTGATTTTCATTTTGGAGGTTAGATTGAATTTATCGATAAGTGGTATTTAATTTTGTGATTCCTTGATCCGTGATAAAACACGAGCAACAATTATTATGAAAAGACTCTCTCTCTCTCTCTCTCTCTCTCTCTCCATTGTAACGAAAGTGGTGTGATAAAATTGTTTTTTCTCATTATGTGGAAATCTATGTTTTTAGCTGAACTAAAATTACAAATGTCGTTAAAATTTGGAGTTTCATCATAAAATATCAATATTTAATAGCACAAATGCAAACACTTATATGATGGTGATAATTTCAATATTTAATTGACGTGGGTTTCAAATAACTAATCTTGAGATATATGAAGTAATACGAAAATTTGGGGTTGATTTTTGGTTTTGGTAGTGCCCCGCCAACGATATCATGGTGCACATGACACAAAGTGGCGAGTGGTGGTGTGGCTAGAACAATGTGATGGTACGCGATGGGGTGGACGAATGGGCTTGTGATTGATGAGGAAAGATACTCTTTTTGTTTTTGTTTTTGTTTTTTTTTTTATTTCTTTTGTTTTGTTCTCATTCAACTAAGCTAAGGATATAGTTATTTTCTTAACATAATAATTTACATTATGATAATTAAATAGATAAAAATAAGACAGAAAAGACTATTTGCACAATAACTATAGATTGAAGATGTCAATTTCAAGAAAGTGGAATAGGAATTGAGATCGCACAGAGGCCATATATTAGGGATCATTTGTGGGAACTGCCTTAATAATGTTGAAATTGAAATGGAAACGGGAAAGAAAATATTTTGCTCCAGCTAATTTATTGATATAGCTCCAGCTAATTTACAGCCCTCTAAACACTGTAAGTGTAATGCATTTCATAAGAATTTTGGACAAGATTCACCTTTAAATTCGATTTGCAAAGAGATGTGAGATATCCAGAGTGATAATAAATTTATGAGACAAGTTTTCAAGAGCGATGTAAAAGTGTTAAGTTTTTCATATTCTTTTAACAAAAATTAAGTCCTTGCTTAAGTCACATTAAAATTTTCATTCTCATTTTTCTACTCATTTTTAACCACACAGTCTTCCAAATCCGTGTAGGAAAGAAGCATATGCATTTAATTAATGAAAGACTTATTAGATGTCAAGTTACTTCTCCAACAAGTTTCAACATCAAATATGAGTTGTATCGACGATAAAATATCCAATATATTATTTAATATTGATGGGATGGTCAACTAATTGAGTAAGACACAACATTTATGTTATTTTAAAATTTTCAATATTTTGTTTTATCCGACTTGACTTCTATGTATTTTCTCAAAATATAAAGCTTGTTTGAGCCCTATTTTATTGTAAAAATATATTTTGGAATAGTAAATTTATAGAGAATGGATGGTTAAAAAAATAAGAAATTTTTTTGGATTTGTGTGTAATATTATTTTATTGAAGAATGTGTAGTTGGAAAAGACGAAAGAGAAAAATGTATTTAAAAAAAAAAAAATTGGGATCAAATAAGGGCATAATAAAGAATATAATTATTCAATAAACATCGCAAGTATATGATTTTAAATGAGCAAGTACAAGCAGTAAGCTGGAGAGTCCGAAATACTATCACACAAAGACTATTCTGTGTAAAACGATTTTCAAAAAATTTCTTATATTTGTTACAAAATTTATTGTGAAATGATTAAAATAAAAAATAATATTTTGAAATTACAAAAAAAAAAAAGGCTTGAAGTAAATATGTAAATGTAATTAGTAAACTTTTTACATTTTATCTTGTAACACATGGGTGGTTTTGGCCTTTAAATATAAGTTGTAAAAGACAATGTTTCCACAGAAAGAGATAAAAAAAGGGACTAAAATGAGAAATCTTCTCCCCATTCTCTGTCTTTCTCTTATCGATCATATTACTTGTACAAAGTGGATTGACAAATTGGGTTTTTAAAGTGATGTGGTAGGAATTAAAAGACTTAAAAGTCCTTCATCTATTCTTTAGTTAAATCAAAGTTTTCTATTCTCAATATAGGATAAGTTTGATGTATTTCTCCTAATAAATACAAAAGTCAATTATGCTCGTATTTATTAATATATTTTTTTATTAAAACAATCGTTTAATATTCTAATTTTCTTTTCTAATTTATTAACTTCTTTATTAATTATGACTATATTTTCTGTAAAATAAAAAGGCACAGGTATATTTCTACTATTTTTCAGAAAATAATCAAGCACGGTATAAAATGATTTAATTTCTTCTCTTTTCCTTTCGCAATTAATTTCTAAATATTGAATGATAGTAACTAAAATTTCATAAATATCATAAGTGCAAATATTAATGCAGGTATTTAACATAAATAAGAAAGATCTTACAGTATTGAATTAGAAGGTAAATACAGAATAATATCAACGAGATTTCCCTCGAGCTTGCTGCCGTATGTTTGTATACTCAGATATAAGTGATCGATGTTATTTGAGTTTAAGAAAGTGGGTTATGGTCTAACACGACTTCCATACTCTTATTATTTTTCTCTCGACTCTTTTGCATATCTCACAATAGATCACACGGAATCACAGTTTTCCTTTCAATTCCTTGTTAAAATATCACCTTGAAAGGTAACGGGTTCTAATGGCTTTCTCTAACAACGCCTCAAACGCCAACACACGGCTAAACGGCAACAAGATACTTGCACAACCCTCAAGGTTCTCACCGTTGGAGTATAAGTAAGATAAGAGTTTTTGAGAAAATAACAAGAATAGAAAGACAGTATTTTCAAACA